GACACACAAGGAATTTGTCTTGGTGTAAATACTCTCAGTATACATAAAGAAAAGATACATTCATTAAGAATCAAGAATCATAACGTACAACACTTAATGATAGTCATAGGGTATAATCAACAATCAAATCATACTAGGAAACAATCAAGTGGGAGGGGATGGGTGATAAGGAGTGGTGAGAAGATTAACAGTAATAGTAGTGTACACTTTGTAAATAGTTGGACAGTGTTGAGGGAATTATTTGTTAAGCAGTATGATGACTTTCGGGAAAAAACTGTTCTTGTGTCTAGTTGTTCTGGTGTACAGGGCTCTATAGCGTCATTTTGAGGGAAGGAGTTGAAACAGTTTATGTCCGGGGTGTGACGGCTGTGTAAATATTTTCACAGCCCTCTTTTTGACTCGTGCAGTATACAGGTCCTCAATGGAAGGCAGGTGGGTAGTAATTGTTTTTTCTGCAGTCCTAATTATCCTCTGAAGTCTGTGTCTGTCCTGTTGGGTTGCAGAACCAAACCAGACAGTGATAGAGGTGCAGATGATAGACTCAATAATTTCTCTGTGGAACTGGATCAGCAGCTCCTTGGGCAGTTTGAGCTTTCTGAGTTGGCGCAGAAAAACATCCTTTGTTGTGCTTTTTTGATGATGTTTTTGATGTTAGGTGTCCATTTTAGGTAATGTGATATCGTAGAACCTAGAAATTTGAAGGTCTCTAGTGTTGATATCGTGTTGTCTAGTATTGTAAGAGGTGGTAGTATGGGAGGGTTTCTTCTAAAGTCTACCACCATTTCTACGGTTTTGAGTGTGTTCAGTTCCAGATTGTTCCAGTTACCCCACGAGGAAAGTTGTATAACCTCCTGTCTGTATGCAGATTCATCGTTGTCTCAAATGAGACCAATCACTGTTGTGTCATCTGCAAACTTCAGTATTTTAACAGATGGATCATTTGAGATGCAGTCATTGGTATATAGGGAGAAGAGAAGTGGAGAAAGCACACAGCCTTGGTGGGGTCCCTGTGCTAATTGTACAGGTATTCTGTACAATACTGTATTCTGATTCTGCCTAGCTTCACCTGCTGCTTCCTGTCTGTTAGGAAACATTTTTAGTGACATTAATGCTACGAAATTTTAGCCAGATAGTTACAAGGGCTTTACTCTGATAATGTGAATATCATTGTGATGTCTTTTAAGGAACAGATAGTAAGATAAACAAGAGACAGCATGGCAGTTTTCCAAACTGTCTTTAGAAAGTTTCTGTTAAATCAATTTTCTTAAGCCAAAAGGCCCCAACTAGGACAAACCTTCCAAAAACGTCTTGAGTTTATTTTATTTTATTTCTACTGAAGATCAAAGAGCTTGTTAACCTGTGATTGTATGCTTGTCGGAACGGGCAGATTTGTCAGAATATCTTATTGGGATCATTAGTCTCTTCTTGAAATGATGTGTTATGGGTTTTATGCTTTTTTTTTAAAAAAAAGATACCTTTGAGAGGTACATGGTTCAAAAAACTTTCCCAGACAAGACAGGTAGTCCTTGACTTACGACCACAACTGAGGCCAAAGTTTCTGTTGCTAAGTGAGACATTTGTTAAGTGAATTTTGCCCCATTTTACAATCTTTCTTGCCACATATCTTAAGTAAATCACTGCAGTTGTTAAGTTAGTAACAGGGCCGTTAAGGGAATCTGACTTTTCTCGTCAGGTCACAAAAGGAGATCATGTGATCCCAGAACACTCCAACCGTCATAAATATGAATCAGTTGCCAAGCGTCTGAATTTTCATTACATTTCATTACATAAGGACTCTGCAATGGTCTTACGTCTGAAAAACAATGACAAGTCACTTTTTTTTCAAGGCTGTTTTAACTTAAAACGGTCACTACATGAACGATTACAAGTCAAGGATCACCTTTGTGTGCAAGTCTTTCACAACAAGCATTCGAATTCAGAATCATCCATCCGGTCAGTTAATTTAAATTTTCTCTTCTATGTTCCTCTCTCTTGAAGCAGAACTGCCAAAGCAAATTCTAGGCAAAAGAGTGAGACATGAATGCAATAGAAAACGCTTCCTTACATGCACTGAAAAATACATTTAGATGTAGGGATGTCAAAATAATTGAGTGTTTATTTAAGTAGTGGGATAACAGAGTTATCGACTTGCATAGAACATGCTTTTGAATTATTAGGTGGACACAGGGGTGGGATTCTACCGGTTCGGACTGGTTCTATAGAACTGGTTGTTATGATTCTGTGCAGTCCGGAGAACCAGCAAATGGTGCTCCTGGCTGGCCCCGCCCATCTCCACCCACCCCTCCTTGCCCAGTCAGTCTTTACCGCTCATGCGCGACATTGCTGACTCCGTTCTCCACCGCCTGGTCACTCCTTAAAGTATTTTTCCCATCCCGACGATCAGCTGTTGTGATGATCAGCTGTGCCAGGATCCCCCTCACTGTCTTACTGTTTCACCCAGGAGGCTTCCCTGAGGCCCAGGAGGCCCAAAAACAGAGTGTGTGTGTGGGGGAAGGTGTTGCACACACCCCCAGGCTCCATTTTTTGCCTTCCTGGGCCCCACAGAAGCCTTCTGGGAGCAAAAACACCCCCCTCCAGGAGGCTTCCTGCAAAAGGAGGGTGTGTGTGTGCTACAAAAAAGAAGAAGCAGCAGCCACGCCCACCTAGTCATACCCACAGAACCTGTTGTTAAAAAATGTGAATCCCACCCCTGTGAAGGGTCCTTGGAGGTCTTCTAGTCGAGCCCCCTATACCAGGGGTGGGATTCAAATTTCTTAACAACCGGTTCTGTGGGTGTGGCCTAATTTGTGGGTGTGGCTTGGTGGTCATGTGACTGGATGGGCGTGGCTTGCTGACTGGGCATGGCTTGGTGGTCACATGCCTGGCCAGGCGTGGCTTGTATGTAAATATTGTAAATATTTATATAAATATTGATATTTTTAAATAAAAAAGAGCAACTTTTATCCAAAATCAGGCAAAAAAAAAGGCAGGCAGATTGAGTTGCTTGCAGAATCACAGGTTCACTCACAGATCTACCTTTCTGCAATCTGCTGCCTGTGTCTGTTACATAAAATTTCTCTCCTTGAATAGTTTCCATCCATTGTTTCTTGTCTTGCTTTCTGGTGTTTTGGAAAATAGGTTGACCCTTCTTCTTTGTGGCAGCCCATCAAATATTGGAACAAAGCTATGATGTCACCCCTAGTCTTTTTTTTTTTTTCATTTGAAGTCTTCTATTTAAGTCCATGTTAGAAGGCCTCTGTGTTTCTCCCTCACTGAAATTCAGATAGAGGTCGACGCGTAATCATGTATGAACTTCTATAGAGCCAGAAAGTCCACGATTAGTATCATTATTATGATTATTATGACTCTGTTCTTTTGCCTATATACTGAAAGGTTCTGTGCCGGAGGCAAATTCCTTGTGGGTCTAATCACACTTGGCCAAATAAAGCATTTGACTCTATTCCAAATTTCCCAACCTCTTTGAAACTTCTTAGGGGCATCTGATCTGATGTCTTGAGTCAGGGGTGCCCAGAGAGGGTGACTCAAAAAAGTCAAGATGGTGACTGTAAATTGTGTAACGACCCTTTTCTACATTCATAAAAACGAGGGAAGGACTTTAATCATGTGCTTTTGGTGCCATCTTCATTTTTCCCCCTTTGTCATGGATGTTTCCCCAGCCTGAAAAGTGAATGAGCAAAGTGTTACACCAAAATTCCTCAAAACCAATCCTAATATAGAGGGAATGAAATAGAAACTAGTGAAAGGAAAGGAAAGGAAAGGAAAGGAAAGGAAAGGAAAGGAAAGGAAAGGAAAGGAAAGGAAGAAAGAAAGGGAAGAATAAATGAATGAATGAATGAATAAATAAATGAATAAATAAGTAAGTAAGTACTTAAAGAAAAATCAGAAAGTCCAATTGCCTCTTGAAAAAAGCACCTTTGGAGTAAGTAAATAAGGAAGGAAGGAAGGAAGGAAGGAAGGAAGGAAGGAAGGAAGGATAATATTTGTCTCCCATGATCATCCGCAGTCAAAAATTAAAAAAAAAACTTTTGTATACAGTGGTGAAAAGGTTGATCGCTAATGTTTCTGAGGTAAAGACATCCTTTGGAAACTCGTCATGTTTTGCTTTTATTTTCTTTGCATACGTTTGGGAGTTTTCAGAGAAAAAATAATCAATCCCATTGTAAATTGTAATAAGTCTCTTGAGACCTCACAGGTAAAAATTCTTGATTCTGGGCAAACACTGTGATTAAATGAAAGAGATGCAAAATGGTGCTAATTAGGAAAGACAGAACATAAAACAGTAGAGGGCCTATTTAAATTGAAGCATATCACTTGAAGTAAAACAATTATCCTATTTTATCAATAGAATATTATTTGTGTGTGTGTGTGTGTGTGTTTGTGTGTCACTGCTTCTACATAAGAAGAACATCTGCACTGAAAATCAGGGGGTAAATCTTTTCCTATTCCTTTCCCTTCTGTGAGAGAAAATATATTATTATCTACTTGACCCAAGACAGGGCAATTATGGATCCAGAGCTGGAAACTCTGTAGAGATTATAACAAAATCAGTCAGTCAGCAGGAAACATTTAATTAACATCCATATCTTCAAACGTCCAGTAGACAGGTAGGTGACATTCCAGTATGGTCTCAGTAGAGCAAAGAATAAAAGATATTTTCTCCTCATTCCCTATATTATCTCTCTGGTTGCATTCACATAACATTCGAATATTGATTGTTCTGTTTTTTTGGTGTTCTGTGCAGATTCTCAGTCATCTAGGTTAGGGTTGTCCCAAAAGTGCTTTTTTCAAGAGGCAACTTGACTTATATTTTTTTGGAAGAAGTTTTGCTTCTCATTCTAGAAGCTTCTTCAGCTCTGACTGGATGGTGGGGAATGGAAGTCTTTATACTCCTTGCTTATACAGCTGGTTATACTCCTTGCTTATACAGCTGGTCATTTGCATCCTTTTTAGAAGGTCATTGAGGCCACTTGGAGGTTTATCTGTGTCCTCATTGTCACCTGAGTGGTGCAAATGGGTGTGGAGCCTTCTTGGAACCGCTGAAAGGACTGTGTTGTAGACTGGAGATAGATGATGTCATATTTCTCCTCCTCTGTTGAGAGAAGGCCTGTTCAATTTTGACCTAGATGGCCTCTTAGGACCCTCTTTCAAACCAGCAGTTTGAAAACAGCTCTGGTTTTTGGGTTCACATAATCCTAGAACTGGAAGGGCTTATCTAGGCCATTAAATTTGACCTCTGTTCAATGAAGAAATCCAGCTTCAAACATCTCTAGGGAAAATCTGTCTAGCTTGGGGCCTTTTGACTTGAGGGATGAAGCCTTTCAGAGTTAAGGTGGGGATTGAGAATTGTGGAGACTGTAAAGGGGAAAAGAGGGAGTGGTGACACATCCAGAAAAAGCTGGAACTATCAGGAATTCATTCATTCATTCATTTCCCGCCATTATTATTATTATTATTATTATTATTATTATTATTATTATTATTAT